TTGGAAACGACAACAAACCGCTCAAAACCACACAGAATTTATAGAAGCCAGAAATAGTTGCAAAATTACTATTGACTCCGCTAAAGAAACATACAATCAAAGAATAAAAAACAGGTTGCTGAATTGTCCAAGTAGTTCTAGGTCCTTTTGGTCTCTTGCAAAAGCTGTTGGATCTAACTTCACCAAGTCATCCATACCACCATTTACAGATAAAAATAATCACTTAGCCACAACATCAGAGGAAAAAGCCAATATGCTTGTCCAAATGTTTTCCTCCAACTCCAACCTAACAGTGCCAAACGGAAAAACTCCACCGTTCATTGAAAGGGTTTCCCATAGTATGCCAGAGGTACCCTTTTGTCACAGAGAAATACGAAAATCCCTTAAAAAGCTAGATACAAACAAAGCAATGGGTCCGGATGGCATTCCCGCAATAGTACTCAAAAATTGCGCCAACGAACTCACCCCAACGTTCGCAAAATTATTCAATTTGTCTTACAGGCAAGGAGTATATCCATCATCATGGAAGTCTGCCGCAGTACAACCCATTCCAAAGAAAGGAAAAAAGACAGATCCGTTAAACTATAGACCAATTGCTCTACTTCCGGTGACATCAAAAGTAATGGAAAGAGTTGTGAACAATCACCTAACCAAGTACTTGGAAAAGTACAAAATTATCAACGATAAGCAATACGGATTTCGAAAATATAGGTCAACTGGCGATTTACTTACATACGTCACTCACTTATGGCAAAAAGCGATTGAGTTGCGGGGTGAAACAAGAACAATTGCCTTAGATATATCTAAAGCATTCGACAAAGTTTGGCATGAAAATCTGCTCAATAAGCTCAAAGCAATGGGATTATCGCCGAAACTTTGCACTTGGTTTGAAAGTTACCTAAAGGACAGATCCATTTATGTTGCACTGGATGGCCAGAACTCCAACTCTTACCAAATAAATGCTGGTGTGCCACAGGGAGCAATCCTTTCGCCAACTCTTTTTCTGATTTACATAAATGACCTCATAGATAAAACAGTAAATCCACTTTATTGCTTTGCAGACGATGGCAATGTAGTCTCCTCACTCCGCACGTGAATTCCATCATCTTAGACTAACTCAAATATCGCAGATAAATAACGACCTGGAGATAATAGAGGACTGGGGTAACAAAAACCTTGTACAGTTCAACGCGCAGAAAACCCAAGCAGCTCTGTTTTCAAAAAAGACCAGCATCGGTGAGCCAAACATCATGCTATCTGGAAGTGCTGTCACATTACAGAGTCAGTTGAACATCTTGGGGGTTACTGCAGAGACCAACATGTCTTGGCACAGTCACGTGGCAGATATTGCTAAAAGGGCGTCCCAAAAGCTGGGGGTGCTATTTCGTACAAGACATCTGTACACACCAAGCCAATTGCTGACACTCTACAAAGCCCAGATTCGACCAACTATGGAGTACTGCTCACATATATGGAGTGCAGCACCCAAACATACCTTAATGCTTTTGAACACCGTGCAAAAACGAGCTATCAAGCTGATCAATGACCCCGCACTTACTCGTAACTTGGATGGTCTCGAACATCGCAGATCTGTGGGCGATTTATCTATCTTCTACAGGTACTATCACGGAAAATGCTCTGAAGAGTTGGCACGTATGATTCCACCGAGAGTAGCGCCTACCAGGCGAACCCGTCAAACAGACGGTAACCATGAATTTACTGTCAAACTAGAGGCACCAAGAACCTCATTATAACAGAATTCATATCTCTGGAGAACAGCATCGCTGTGGAATAAACTCCCTGCGACGGTTTTCCCTGCAGGTTACAACCTGAACCGTTTCAAGACCAACATACACTGACATTTCCGCGCACTTGCCGCTTCTCGAGCGTGATAGGACATTTCCTTGCGAGTGCGCATATCCGTAAAAAAAAAAAAAACACGTCAAAATAAAAAGAAACTGCAGGTGTTTCAAAACAAGGTAATCCGTAGGATGGTCGGCGCTCCGTGGTATGTTCGCAATGCGGACCTACATACGGACCTCAGCGTTGATACAATCCAGGAGTACCTTGTTGAGAAACATACGCGGTTTCTTGACAAAGTAACTAATCATACAAATGACATAATTAATTCTTTATTTGACGATAACTATACTATTAACCCTGACAGGACTTTTTTCAGAAATCTAAGAGCTCCACTTCTCTTCTAGTGAATGAAATCCCCTTCCCTTCTTTCCCATCCTTCCTATCCTTTCCCCACTCCCCTCCCTTTCCCTGAACAAAAATTGACCTAAAACACAACACATGGCAGTGAGTAGACTCACCCAAAATTGCGTAAGAGTGCTGTCGCACTAACACAGGATTGAACACCAAGAAGAAGAACAAGATAAGTTGATTATAAAAGGCAGGCAGTTTTCAGCTTATTTGGACTTTATTTTCAAAGTTGATTATTATTATCCCCGGTATCCTACTTTTTATACCTTACCTTAGTAAAAAAATTCATACCTACTGGCTCTCTCAGTTTTTGCCTACACACTACACACCAATGTATACGAAGATCTGTGATATTTTATTTGAAAAAAATTGTTGTTAGTAATGTTAGTTATCGTAATTTAATATGCTTTTGTGTTATTTCATCTTATATAATCCCTGTTACCGTCGTAATGATGTCTCTTCCAAACTGTCTGAATCCAATTTTAGTTTGAATTTAAATTCTGATTTTTTGAGAGCTTGTATTTTCCTTAGACATCTTATCAAAGTTAAATTTGATTTTGTAGTACCTATCTAAAGTTTAACTCATCCATGAATTTTACTGCAGAATTCATACTTGCTTCCTCGTCAACTGAGTTTAACATCAAGTCCAACATAAGTTGATTCAATTCGTTCAACTGAAACATTTTATCGTCCAATACTACCACGTAATTCACTTAAATCATATCTTTCTTTGGAAATTTCATCTTCTACTTTATCACAGATCTTTGTAAAGCTGGCTGATGTAATTCTAGAGCTTTCTTAGTTTTCTCGATAGGTACTTGCAATAGAAATATCCTGTCACGGTTGCAAATTCTGTGAATCACCGTGATTCCCTGACATTCACAAAAGTCTGGTGGTATATTTCAAAAAAATATAAAAAGAATAAGGGGGCTTCTAATAATTATAAAACTTGGCTCAGTTTTTTGGGCAAAAACCTTTCGAATTTTAAATATATAGGGTGATCCATATCAATATCATCCATAACAAGATCTTGCTGGATAATTCACGTAGGATCATTCCTGGAATTAAAGTTATCGCCAAAACTAAATTATTGGAATACGTTCATATTGATCATTAAACTTTAGTTTTAGGACCAATTGAATTCTTGTATGGGTGTAGGTAAACCTAAATACTCTAGGTTTATCGATCCATATGTCCATGGAGAAAATATAGTTAGTGCATTGAATGAGGAAATTTATGCAGACAATGGTCGTGTTGTATGTCTTTAGGGATGTTATAGTTGATAATGTTACTATTAGATGGAAGTGGCATTGACAAATGTTAATGAAGTAAACGAAACCATACTGGAGCTTCAAAAAAATTCTGCTCCAGGATATGATGGCATAACAACAATAGATTTAAATCATTTTAAAAACAATATCTGGGTTGATAGATAATGTTTTTTTGACAAGTATTTTTCACACTTTCCTCTTGGATTTATATATCCTGACTTCCTCAGTTGATAAGGTGCTGCAAGTTGGAGTTTGGTTATTGTTCGGATTGCTGAAAATTTCAAAATTATGGAGCTTTCAATAATTGATTTGAAAAATGTAAAGACAAAAAGATCGTCTTTGAAAATATTTTAAAATATCTTAAAGATTAAAAATTTTAAAGACAAAACATTTAAGACTTTAAGCCTCTTGAAAATTCTATTGAAGCTTAAAAATCCTAAAGCTAGAATCTTTTGAAACATCAACTGACATCTGTAGTATTAAAATTGAACTCCGCCGTCTTATAATAGAGAAAGCTCGAGCCAGATTAGCCAATTGTCCCAAGCTTTATATAGATGTCTCTAGTTGAAAAAGCTGTTGAGCTTTTTTAATCAAAAATATTAATAATTTCTACTAAAAAATTTGTCATATAATTATGTATTGGAAATTTGAGTATTTAAATTCTACAGTTTCTGAATCTTTGGGTAGCTTTTCTGAGAAGTTTCGAATAAAGAGAAGCTTTTCTCATCCGCCAATACATCCAGAATAAAGCTCAATTTTGGCTCTATTTTACGCTCTAAACTTGCTTGTTAGAATATACAGGGTGTATTAAGAATTATTCTGAAATATTTCAATTAAAGTTCTTAATCTAATCTTCTACATTTTAGTTCAACATCTTCTAAATTCAATTTTTTATCCTATATACGACAGTGAAAAGACATTTAAAGTTACATTTTGTATAGTTTAGAAATTTTTTTGTGTATGTGATGTAAATGCCACTCAATAAATCTGCCTTTCTAATAATTCTACAATCAATTTCTCCAAGTAAAAGATTTTAGAATAAAGTACAATACATTCATCAGGATTAGTGAAATTTGACAGTTTATTGAAACATTTTGGCAACATTGAAAAATAGACATTAAAAGCTACAATTTTCGAAAAAAAAATTATAAGTTCAATGTCGCTGTCCCAATTATTCACAAGTTTAGTTCCGGAAAATGTCGATGCGCGCCCCCGGAGCGCCACTTGTACCCAGTTCGATTTTTCCCTCATTTTCCTTTCCGTTTTCCAATATTGCCAGATTCACGGAAATTTCTCTTAAACCTTCTATACTCAAAAGAAAATTATATTGTACCCAAATTACTTTGAGACAATTTGTATTTTATTAATCAACTACAAATATTTGTATATTTTTGTCAATTTTTCATATAGGTATGTATAAGTATTACAAGGAAAATCGTCCAACCAAGTCCGACAACAACGCAAAAACCGAAGTAGGAAAAGTCTGATTTTCAACCCTTTCAGTTTGCCGAAATATTCCGCCAACCGAGGGTTGATTTTAACCGAAACCCGACCAAATAGAAAACCGATTCTTTTTAAAATTAAGCAATTTTTTCTCTTTAAAAAAATGTCATCTTTTGCTGATTATTGATTCGCGCGGAGTGGTTAAATGCACGTGATTGTGATTCTCGAACAGCCTTCGCGAATAGTACAGAAAATATTAATCGAAAAATGTGGGAAAAGGGTTGAAACGGCAGCGAAATGTTACCAGAAGCGACGGTTATAGATTCGAGGTGACAGTGGGAAAAACCGTCAAAATTTCCGCTACAATGCCCGGGGGTCGTAGGGGGCTGGTCGCCCCTCAGAATACGTTTTTGGAGAATATCATTCGTAGATCTAATCAACAACGTAAGTAACTCGGACAATATAAGTTTAGATTTGACTCAGAAAGGCATCAAAGTTAACTCAGAAGCTGACTTTTCTATTAACTCAGTTCAGTTGTTGTGAAGCTTCTTTAGAAAACTTAATTGAATTTTAAATTGGTAAAAGAGTCCAAGAGTTTCAAATTGTTTCCCTACTCAGCATTGTGAAGAATCATTAATTTCTGAGCTTGCAGATTGAAATTATTAACAATATATTTGTAGAGAATTTAATAAGCTTTATTGAAGCGTAATGACGTTAAGATCGGATCGAAATTAACAAAGTTTTGAGGCAAAAAATCTGTGTTGGTGTCATTTTGGAAAGAATCAAATTTTCATTGGAGGTTTGTAGATTATCAGTAAATGAATCCTTCTTGATTGACTCTAGAAAACTAATCAACAAGAGCCGGTAATTTTTAAAATATTCAATAATTTTTCTACAAAACTTCTCTTACTTTCTCTCTCACTCTTAATTAACATAGAAAAAGGAGTCTTGACAATCTTGTAGCTTCGAAATGATTCAATTTAGAAGATCAAAATCACTGGTAAATATTCCAGAAAACCAGATGAAAACTGGTCAAATTCAAAAGAAGCAAAACTGATAGAAAAAGAAAGACAATACAAAACTAAAACATCCTGTATTGCGATGAAGAAAAAGATACAAAATGGATGAAAATTGAAAATAAATAAATAAATAAATTTATATAAACAAATTACAAAGTCAGAAGAAGCCAAAATGAAGCAAAATAATTAAACATTCATTACAGATGAAGCTGATACACAAATTCATCAGCCCTTTTATTCGGTAGTTAACAAGTGGCCAATCTATTTTCAAGTATATACACCATATACGTAGGTACACAATCTTACTGTAACAATCTCAATAGCCCTTCGGCCCTTTCAAATTCTAACCTTTTGACCGTGAGAATCGCCATCGATCCGATACGTCGAGATTTTCAGCCGAAAAATGTTTATTCCGAAAATGTGGGTCACAATCGGACTTTGATTTAATGGCGAATCTGATTGTGTGTGCTGTTTTCCTGTCCCTGACCTTTAAAAAATTTCTTTTTGTGTTTAGAATTTCAGCCACTCATAACTTTGCTTTATTTGAGCCATTAATTCATAACTTTGCTTTAGTAGTTAAACAAAGCGGGTTCTGCGATATAACATTATCGTAATGGTAAGAGCGTTAGTGTACGTTAAGTGTGCCATCTGACTGTGGGCTTGGGTGGTAGGTAGTTTAGGTGTCAATGGCGGCTTCATGTGTCACTATCTGACAGCTAGCAGCCAAAGTTTGTCAGTAATAACGGGGCACCTGAGCCTGGGAATTTTTCCGATACCGTGGGAAAATTTCTAAATCGGCGATGCCTTTGATCTGAAATTTCGGGAGTTTTAAAGTACGCTAACGCTATTACCATTACGATAACGTTATATCGCAGAACCCGCTTTGTTTAACTACTTGCTTTATTTGCTAAATTATTTGTTTTATTTTATAGGCACTCAAAAACTCATATGTAATCTGCTCAAAGGCGTATACACAACCTTTCAAGGTATATTTTATTTATCAATTATTGTATTGCTAGTTTTGTAGCTTTGCAATAACAATTTTCCTGGTAGAGTGTCAAGTTATAAAGTACCACCCCTTGTAAATTTTTCACGTTCGATCAAAAATAAAAAAGTTACAGGGGATGGTACCTACTAAAAAACTTCTAGAATGCTCCAGAACTCTTTAAGCCAAGTAAGAACACTTTAGAACTTCAATAAACCATTTAGAACATTGTTACTTTGGGCTGCAAGGTTTCAGGCATCAGGTTTCCACCAGATGAAATCTACTATAAATTCACCAGTAAAATAACAACGCGGTGTGGTGGACCATCATATTTCCACCATCAATAAAAAAACGCTTTAGTGGCATCATGTTTTCACCTGGTGAATGTCTGATGGAAAAAAGAACGCGCCCTTTACCATAACATGGCCCAAAGTAATTTGATGTTCCGGTCCCTTTGCTTTTGTCTGGGGTAAATAAATGAAATTCCAAAGCTAAAGTCGGTTTTACATGTATGTACACACATCAAAAGGGTTTTTATCAAAGAGAGGTTCTAATTAGGAAATAATAGAGTAATTTTTTTTTTCTCTGCGTCATCTACAAGTGAATGTAATCGAAAATCGATTAACTTTCAACCTTTAAGTGAATCATGCAAAATAGCTTGTCTTTTGGAGTGTATTCGAGTGACGCTTGAAACCTCTTAATTAAAGGCAAACAATCAGAAGGGAGAGTGCCAGATAAGAGGAGTTTCTACTTAATAATGAATACGTTTATATAACAAACACAATAAAAAAATTTGGAAACATTATTCCTAGCTCTACTACCAGCAAATTGAAATGGAAGAATTTGGAAATTCTATTCCTGGTTCTCACATTGATGATATTTGAACAAAAAATACTGATTTCTGACAATTCTAAAGTTGAAAGCAATTTGAAAAGTTCATTTTCAAACTTGTTCTGAACAGAATGAGTAACTGTTCTTGGATCTCCCGGAACTAAACTAGAGTCTCAATTGAGTAAGAGCAGGTTGAAAAAGTTCAGAGTACTTCATAAACCCAATATTTTACAGGCTGTTTTAAACATATTTGGCTCTCAAATTGGTAAAGTTTGAACAAGAAATACTGATTTCTGACCATTCTAGAGTTCAAAGCAACTTGAAAAGTTCATTTTCAAACCTGTTCTGAACAGGACGAGTTTGCAACTCTGTTCTTGGGTCGGGTCTCCCAAAGCTAAACTCTAAGATGGATAAGCATGAAAATTCTGTTCCCCCTTTACCAATATCAAATCGAATTGGAGAAGTATAGAGTACTAATTATGAGTCTCAATCGAGTCAGAGCAGCCTGAAAAAGTTCAGAGCAGTTTAAAAAGTTCATATTTTAAGCTGTTTTGAACATATTTGGCTCTCACATTAGTAAAGTTTGAACAAGAAATACTGATCTCTGCCCATTCTAGAGTTCAAAACAATTTGAAAAATCCATTTTCAAACTTGTTCTGAACAGGACGACTTTGAAATCCTGTTCTTGGGTCTCCCAGCTGAATTTTGAGCTGAATAAGCATGGAAATTCTCTTCTCTTCCCTCTTTACTAATATCAAATCGAATTGGATAAGTATAGAGTATTACTTTCAGAGTCTCAATTGAGTCAGAATAGCTTGAAAAAGTTCAGAGCAGTTCAAAAACCCAATATTTTACAGCTTGTTTTGAACATATTGGGCTCTCAAATTGGTAAAGTTTGAACAAGAAATACTGATTTCTGACCATTCTAGAGTTCAACACAACTTGAAAATCTCATTTTCAAACCTGTTCTGAACAGGATGAGTTTGAAATCCTATTCTTGGGTCTCCCGGAGCCAAACTTTGAGCTGAATAGGCATGAAAATTCTGTTCCCTCTTTACTAATATCAACTCGAATTGGAAAAGTATAGAGTACTACTTTTAGAGTCCAAATTGAGTCAGAGCAGCTTAGAAAAGTTCAGAACAGTTTAAAAAGCTAATATTTTAGGCTGTTTTGATCATATTTGGCTCTCACATTGGTGAAGTTTGAACAAGAAATACTGATCTCTAACCATTCTAGAGTTCAGAACAATTTGAAAAATCCATTCTCAAACTTGTTTGAACAAGACGATTTTGAAATCCTGTTCTTCGGTCTCCCGGAGCTAAACTTTGAGCTGAATAAGCATGGAAATTCTATTCCCTCTTTACTAATATCAAATCAAATTGGAGAAGTATAGAATACTACTTTCAGAGTCTCAATTGAGTCAGAACAGCTAGAAAAAGTTTAGAGCACTTCAAAAACCCAATATTTACAGGCTGTTATGAACATATTTGGCTCTCAAATTGGTGAAATTTGAACAAGAAATGCTGATTTCTGACCATTCTAGAATTCAAAGCAACTTGAAGAGTTCATTCTCAAACCTGTTCTGAACAGGATGAGTTTGCAACTCTGTTCTTGGGTCGCGTCTCCCAAAGCTAAACTTCAAACTGGATAAGCATGGAAATTCTATTCCCTCTTTACTAATATCAAATCGAATTGGAGAAGTATAGAGTACTACTTTTAGAGTCTCAATTGAGTCAGAACAGCTTCAAAAAGTTCAGAGCACTTCTAACACCCAATATTTTACAGGCTGTTTGGAACATATTTGGCTCTCAAATTGGTAGAGTTTGAACAAGAAATACTGATTTCGGACCATTCCAGAGTTCAAAGCAACTTGAAAAGTTCATTTTCAAACCTGTTCTGAACAGGACAAGTTTGAATTTCTATTTTTGGGTCGGGTCTCCCAAAAGTAAACCTTAAACTGAATAAGCATGAAAATTCTGTTCCCCCTTTGCCAATATCAAATCGAATTGGAGAAATATAGAGTACTACTTTTAGAGTCTCAATTGAGTCAGAACAACTTGAAAAGGTTCAGAGCACTTCAAAAACCCAATATTTCACAGGCCGTTTTGAACATATTTGGCTCTCAAATTGGTAGAGTTTGAACAAGAAATACAGATTTACTGATTTCTGACCATTCAAAAGTTCAAAGCAACCTAAAAAGTTCAATTTCAAACCTGTTCTCAACAGGACGAGTTTGAAATCCTGTTCTTGGGTCTCCCGGAGCTAAACTTTGAGCATAATAAAGATGGCAATTCTGTTCCCTCTTTACTAATATCAAATCGAATTGGAGAAGTATAGAGTACTACTTTTAGAGTCTTAATTGAGTCAGAACAACTTGAAAAAGTTCAGAGCACTTCAGAAACCCAATATTTTACAGACTGTTTTGAACATATTTGGCTCTCAAATTGGTAAAGTTTGAATAAGAAATACTAATTTCTGACCATTCTAGAGTTCAAAGCAACTCGAAAAGCTCATTTTCAAACCTGTTCTGAACAGGACGAGTTTGCAACTCTGTTCTTGGGTCGGGTCTCCCAAAGCTAAACTTTAAGCTGGATAAGCATGAAAAATCT